TAGCCGTCTTTGTCAGCGTGTGCCTCTCACCTCCCAGCAGCTGCACGACTGGTACGATCGCCGTTTACGTCGCGCTTCTGCACCTCAGGACTCTACTGCTGGGGGTTCTTCTGGTGGCGTCACTGGGGCAGGGGGTGGTGTTGGTCCTTTGTCTGCAGGAGGTGCTAGTGTAGCTGGTCCCGGAGGTGCTCATACTCGGGGTACTGGAGCTGCTGGGGCTGGCGGTGTTGTGTCTGACTGTACTGGCGCTGCTGGAGGTGGTGGAGCCGTTGAGGGTACTGGAGCTGCTTAGGGTACTGGAGCTGCTGGAGGTACAAGAGATGCTGGAGGTGCTGGAGCTACTGAGGGTACTGGAGCTGGTGAGGATGCTGGAGCTGCTGGAGACGCTGGAGCGGCTGGAGGTGCTGTAACTGCTGGGGGTGCTAGAGCTGTTGGTGCTGGTGGCCCTGCACAGCCGCGCCTATTCTTTGCTCCGCCGTCTTCGTCGTCTCAGCCACCGCCTGACGCTGCGCTTCGCCAGGTTCTTAGTCTCCCTTCATCTACTGGTCTTCCGTTACAGCCTGGTTCACTACTGCCTGCTCCTTCTCCGTACACTGAGCAGCCAGGGGGCCTTGCTGAGCGTCGTGAGCCTGCATCGCGTCCTGTCTCACCTGTCCGTTCTGGTCGTTACGGTAGTTGTGTTTCTCGTCAGCGTCAGCCAACTGTCCCCGGCCCTCACCTTGTAGTCCGTCGTCCTCCCTCTCCTCCGTCGCGTGTTCCTCTGCCGTCTCGGCCTGCGTCCTCTCTGTCTGTCATCGCTGACCCTGCGTCTGACCAGTTTCGTGCTGAGCACCCTACTGTCACGCGTCTGCTTGCTACTGTTGTTACTGACCCATCTTTTGAGTCTGCTACTGCGTTTGCCTTAGTCGCTGAGCTTGCATCATGGCCACGAGATGAGGCGCAGCGGGGGCAAGACACTCAAGGTCCTCCTGCCTGTCCTCAAGGACGTCTGTGCCAAGAGCACACTCACCCCCGACGGACGGAGGACAGACAGACTCAGACTCAGCAACAAGACTAGCAGCGTAGTCTAGACGACAGGCAGCAGCAAAGTCAACAAGCTCAGCGACTAAGGCAAACGCAGTAGCAGACTCAAAAGACGGGTCAGTGACAACAGTAGCAAGCAGACGCGTGACAGTAGGGTGCTCAGCACAAAACTGGTCAGACGCAGGGTCAGCGACGACAGACAGAGAGGACGCAGGCCGAGACGGCGGAGGAACACGCGACAGAGGAGAGGGAGGACGTCGGAATACATGGTGAGGGCCGGGGACAGCCGGCTGATGCTGACGAGGAACACGACTACCGGAACGACCAGAACTGACAGGTGAGACAGGACGCGACGCAGGCTCACAATGCTCAGCAAGGCCCCCTGTCTGCTGAGCGTAAGGAGTAGGAGCAGGCAGAGGTGAGCTAGGCTGTAACGGAAGACCAGTAGATGGTGGGAGGCTAAGAACCTAGCGAAGCACGGAGTCAGGCGGTGGTAGAGACGACCGGGATGACGAAGCAAAGAACAGGCGCGGCTGTGAAGTGCCACCAGCACCAGCAGGTCCAGCACCCTTAGCAGCTCCAGCACCTCCAGCAGCTCCAGCACCACCAGCAGCTCCAGCACCCTCAACAGCTCCAACACCTCCAGCAATTCCAGGACCCTCAGCAGCTCAAGCACCTCCAGCAGCTCCAGTACCCTCAGCAGCTCTAGCACCTCCAGCAGCCCCAGTACCCTCAGCAGCTCCAGCACCTCCAGCAGTCCCAGCACCCTTAGACACACCACCGCCAGCCCCAGCAGCTCAAGTTACCCCAGTACGGGCACCTCCGGGACCAGCGATACCAACACCTCCAGCAGGCAAAGGACCAGCACTACCCCCAGCTCCAGTGACGCCAGCAGAAGAACCCCCAGTAGTAGAGCCCTTAGGTGCAGAGGCGCGACGCTGACGGCGACCGTACCAGTCGTGCAGATGTTGGGAGGTGAGAGGCACACGCTGACGAAGACAGCTACTCCAAGGAGACCGCGTAACAGCAGTCTTAGAACCCTCAGGCGACTCACCCCCAGACTAAGCACTCCCAGGCTCCGCACATGTAGGTGCAGCACCCCCAGACGTAGCACCCCCAGACGCAGCACACCCAGACGCAGCACCCCCAGGCTAAGGACCTCCAAGCTCCTCAGGCGCAGGCTCAGCACCTCCAGGCTCTGCACCCTCAGCTCCTCACGCTCAGCGCCCCCAGACTCAGCACCCCAATGCTGCGCACCCCCAAGCTCCGCACCCCCAGGGATAGCACCACTCCCAGCAGGATCGGAGTCACCAGTGACCTCAGCAGGCGCAGGGACGGGAGGGTCTACCAGAGAAACACCTGAAGGAGCAGGACCTAGCGCGGGGAGGGGGTCTACCTGGGGAGGACCTGGGGCAAGAAAGAGCGGCGGGGGGGGGGGGGCGAGGAGCAGTGCGGTAGGGGAAAAGGCTTTAAAAGGGGAACGACTCGTCAAAGGTGACGTCCTGAGACGCAAAGACACGGCGCGAGGCGGGGTCGTAAAACTGCCAGCCAGGCGCGTCAGGGACAAAAAGAAGGAAGACGTAAAGAATGGCGCGAGGGGAGAGCTTGTCCGCGGTGGTATCGCGGACAAAGGCACGTGCACCCCAGACCCGGAAACGCGACGCGTCGCCAACCTTCCCCGTCCACAGTAGTGTGGGCGAGGTCTCCGGCAAGGAGACACGGGGCCAAAGGTTGAGCTGATGCGCGGCGTACCGGACCGCAAACGACCATAGAAAATGGGGGGCAGCTGCATGGATCATGGAAGTACGAGCGACCTCCATGACTAAGCCAATGCGGCGCTCACCAACCCCATTCTGCTGTAGAGAGGCCGGAAGCGTGAAAGTCTGGCGGATGCCGTGCTCCGTACAGAAGGCTGCCAAGAGGTCTGAGGAGAACTCACCACCTCTGACAGAGTGCAGACGCAGGACAGGAAAGTCCGACTGGAACCGCTCGCGGAGCTGGAGACGAGCAGCGCGGATCCAAGGGATCAAAACATCAGGGACATCCCCCTTGCGCTGCAAGGGAAAGACCGTGGTGTAACGCGTGTAGTCGTCGACAACCAGCAGGAAGTACCGTTCATGGCCCTGTCCACGGACGCGGGCTGGGCCCCACACGTCCAGGTGGAGAGTCTACAGTGGAGCCTCTATGGGAGGGAACGAGGAGGAGTGAGGAGCGGCGCGCTGCCAGCCCTCGACGCAAGGAATGCAGGGCGGTGCAGGCGAGGGAGGGAGGGCAGGAAGAGACCTGGGAAGACCAGAGACCAGGAGGCGAGAGTGCATGCTACGAAGGCGAGGCAGGGAGGAGTGACCAAGGCGGTGGTGCCACAGGAGAGTGTCGTGCGACAGCTGGCGACACTCACACTGGGTAGCTACCTGAGCAGACGCGTGCAGGTGGGGAGACAAAGGGGTGGAGCGTGACGCAGTGGTGAGGGTGTACAGACTGGACCCTGGCGCACGAGTGAACGTGGCCAGGTGGCGGCCGGTCCGGGAACACATGCAGATCGCCACACGCTGCCGGCCAGGGGTGAAGGTGTTAACCCCCGCATCCTGGAGGACAGCGTTGCTCACCAAGTTCGTAGCAAATGAGGGGAGGTGGAGACCAGACAGCTCACCAGACGGGACCGCCGGACACGGAAGCAGAGTGGAAGACCGTGCAAGCACTGGGCCCCCAGAGGGGTCAGCCAGTCAGACAGGAACAGGTGCAGGGAGGGGAGTGATTGTGGTGCTGTCGCGAAAGAAATAGCGGGAAGCATGGGAGTCAATTGTAAAGGTGTGCAAGGCCTGTGCAGGCGCAGTACCAGGGGGAGTAGACTCACAAGCACCTAGTGCTGCAGGGGCTATACCAGGATCCGGTGGCACACACAAGTAGCACTCACCCTCAGCACTAACAAACAATGCATACATAGCAGCAAAAATAGCCACATAGTCAAGATCAAAGATAGGTACATCACGCCAAGCAGCTCTGCCCAGTTGGGGAACTCAGGAGCATCAGGAAACTTGGCACGCCAGGCGTCGCTAAGCCGAGCGAAGCAGCGCTGCTCAGTTTGAAACCTTGTGCACTGGTGACCAGTGCGAGGACCTGTGCGAATGATATAGGGGCAGCGACCAGGACCCCCAGAAGCCCCACGCCCGGCATACCAGTCAAGAAGCTGCTGGGAAGTGGGGGTCTGGCGCTGACACTGCTGCTGCTGCTGCCGCTGCTGCTGCTACTTCGGCTGCGTCTGCTGCTGGCCCTGACCACCACTGCCACCACCGCTCCCTCCTCCCCCACCGCCGCTGCTACCACCTCCACCACTCCCAGTGCCTCCGCCGCTCCCACGACCACCTCCACCACCTCCACCCCCACGACCACCTCCACCACCTCCACCTCCCCCGCCGCCTGCACCACCGCCACCTCCACCGCCACCCCCACCTCCTCTGCCACCCTTGCCGCCACTGCCGCTGCGACGCTTCCCACTAGGAGCTGAAGCAGCCCCGACCTCCTCAGCACCAAGGTAGTCGTGAGCAGCAGCTCCGGAGGCGTAGGAGGGGGTGAGAGGGGAGGGGGAGCACCCCTCAAAGAGGGGAGAGAGAGGAGTGCCACAAGCAGCACCTACATGAGAAGAACTGAACGAGAATGAATGAACTATGAGTGAAGTGAGTACAAATAACAAACCCTAGTTGGGTTGTACCCCCTATGGGATACCCCACTATAGCCTACACAACAGCATAAGCTATATAATGTTCTGACACACCCCCATAGGCAAAGTGGGGGAGAACAAGGGGTCACAAGACCAGTCAAGCAAAACAAAGCAAAGCTCAGGGTGGATCACAAAGTCACCACACAGTCCGAGCACAAGAGCAAGGCCACAAGGCCAGTTCAAATGCAAGAGTACACACATATATATATAGAGCTAGACAAGCAAGAGCAGGTATATATATGTGACAGTACAAGTAAGGTCAAGAGGAGAGCAAGTGAGGCAAGACAGGTACAAGACCCAGCTGGGTGCAGAAGCGCTGATGGTCACAAGGCGCGAGTGCCTTGGTGAACACGTCAGCAGTGTTGGCCTCAGAGGCCACGTACGCAAGCCGCAACTGTCCACGCTGCTGTAGCTCACGAGCAAGGAAGTAGCGAAGAGCAATGTGCTTCGTTCTGTGCTCCAGACGCTGCTCTCGACACAAGGCCAGCATGGCCTTGTTGTCTACGTACAGTACTGGAGGAGAACGAGGCGGCTCTCCAAGGTCAGTCAGCAGGTAGGTGAGCCAGCGAAGCTCCTGTGCAGCCATGGACCCTGCGTAGATCTCAGCCTCACAACTGGAGCTGAGGACCGAAGACGAGCGAGTAGCCCGCCACGAGACAGAGCCGGAACCAAGGCTGAAGGTGTAACCCTGTGACGACCGCTGCGTAGCCTGGTTGTCAGCCCAAGAAGCGTCCGCGTGTCCTGTAAGGACCACTGGACTCCGCCCTCCAAGCACTAGCCCCATGCCCGACGTGCTGCACAGGTAGCGCAACACCCTCTTCGCTGCAGCCATGTGCTCTGGTCGGTGTCTCCCAGGAGCAACATAGCGTGCAAGAATGCTAAGAGGGTATGCAAGGTCAGGTCGTGTGCAGGTCATCAGGTACATGAGGCAGCCAACAAGCTCTGGGTACGGGCCACTCGACTCTACGGACTCATCCGAAGGTAGAGCTGAGAGCGAGTGGCGAGTAGACAGAGGAGTGGCCTGAGGCGAGGAGTACGTGAAGCCGAAGCGCTGAAGGACCTGCTGCACCATGTGTGACTGAGTCAAGGTAATGGTGCGGCGTGCTCTGTCCCGAGTGATCTGCAAGCCAAGGTAGCTGCGCAGTTCACCCAGGTCTGTGCACGTGTGTCTCTTCAACAGCTTGGACTTCACGTAGGCGAGTCCAGCAGTGTCCGCTGTGGCAAAGACCAAGTCGTCGACGTACACGAGGATGTAGAACGGCGGCAGAGAAGTGTCGGTGCGCAAAAACAGCGACGGGTCAGCAGTAGAGGGAGCAAACCCAAGAGCCGCAAGTGTAGTGCTCAGTGTGTCGTGCCACTCACGCGGTGCCTGGTGGAGACCGTAGACTGGCCGTCGGAGGCTCCACTGGGTGCTAGGAGGGAAAGTCCCAGTGAAGCCAGGTGGACGGCGCAGCCAGATCTCCTCGTGCAGGCTACCCTGCAAGAACGCAATGCTGAAGTCGAGAGAGTGAAGCTCGTAGTCGCGCTGAGCGGCTATGTGCAGCAGCACCCGAAGAGTGGTCATCTTCGGGGTGGGAGAGAAGGTCTGAAAGTAGTCAACTCCCTGCCGCCGACTGAAGCCACGAGCGACGTACCGCGCCTTGAAGACAGGTGGAGAGCCCGGCGGCCGCTTCACCCTGAAGATCCACATGCCACTGACGATGTTCGCCCCAGGAGGGGGAACCGCGTCAACGTAGGTGCCTGTGGACTTCCAGGAAGCCATCTTTGCATCCATAACTGCCTGCCACTGAGAGGAGTAGGGACCCTCTACGGCCTCCGCGTAAGAGCGCGGAGTCGGGATGTCTAGTGCATCCGGGTCTCCCTCAGGAGCAAGCAGTACAGACGCGAGATGAGGTGAAGCAGCAGCCAGACACTGGAACTCCTCCTGCCTGTCCTCAAGGACGTCCGTGCGAAGAGCACACTCACCCCCGACGGACGGAGGACAGACAGACGCAGACTCAGCAACAAGACTGGCAGCGTAGTCTAGATGACATCGAGCAGCAAAGTCGACGAGCTCAGCAACAAGCGCAGACGCAGCAGTGGACTCAAAAGAGGGGTCAGTGACGACAGTAGCAAGGAGACGCGTGACAGTAGGACTGGCAGCACGAAGAGAGTCCGACTCAGGGTCGGCAAGTGCAGGAAGAGAGGACTCAGGAGGAGAAGGCAAAGGGGCACGCAGAGGAGCAGTGGACGGACGCAGAGACATCCGGTGCGTGCCAGGGACAGGAGGAGGACGCTGACGCGAACTGCGACCACTAGCGCGAGCAGCACGAACAGGCGACGCGGGACGAGACGCAGGCTCACGACGCTCAGCAAGACCCCTAGTAGGACCAGTGTAAGGAGAGGGAGCAGGTAGTGGGGAGGTAGGCTCCAACAGTGACTGCGACTGGACAGGCTGTGGACACTCTACAGGAGGAGAAAGACCAAGAACCTGCTGTAGGAGCGGAACGAAGTACGGCCGAGGCCGCGCGGCAACTTCAGACCCAGCACGGACAGCACTAGCACCCTCAGCGGCACCACCAGCGCCACCAACACCTCCAGCGGCAGGACCTCCAGCAGCACCAGCAGCAAGACCGCCGCCAGGACAGACAGCAGTAGTCTCAGCACCAACACCCTCAGCAGCTCCAGCTCTAGTAGGACCCGCAGGCCCAGCAGCTCCGGGACCGGCGGCACCAGCACCCTCGACAGTCGAAGAAGCTCCAGCTCCAGTAGTACGCCTCCAGCGGCGAGCAAACCACTCGCGCAGCTCCTGTGGAGAGAGGGGCTCCCGCCGAGTCGGAGCACCAGGAGAAACCCCAGGCTCAGCAGCGCCAGACGCAGCACCCCCAGGCTCAGCAGCTCCAGACTCAGCACCCCCAGGCTCAGCACCCCCAGTAGTAGCACCTCCAGGCTCGGCACCCCCAGGCTCAGCACCCACACGCACAGCACCCCCAGAGTCAGCACCCCCAGGCTCAGCACCCGCAGCAGCACCAGAGTCACCAGTAACCTCGACCGGGTCAACTGCGTCTACCTGGGACACACCTGAGGGGGCAGGAACCTGAGGGGGGAGGGGGTCTACCGGGGGGGGAACCGGCACAAGAAAGTCCGGTGGCGGGGGGAGAGAAGGAGTGCGGTAGGGGAAGAGGCGGTAGAAGGGGATTGACTCGTCGAACGTGACGTCCTGGGAGGACAGAACACGACGAGAGGAGGGGTGGTAGAACTGCCACCCTCGAGCGTCAGGGGGGAAGCCAAGGAAGACACAGGGAGCAGCACGGGGGGACAGCTTGTCCGCAGACAAGTCGCGGACAAACGCCCGAGATCCCCAGACACGGAACGCAGACGCATCGCCGACCTTCCCCGTCCACAGCAAGACTGGAGACATCGCGGGCCGAGAGACCCTGGGGTGAAGGTTGAGCTGATGCGCCGCGTACCGAACCGCAAACGGCCACAGAAAATGGGGGGCAGCCGCATGCATCATGGACGTACGAGCGACATCCATGACCATGCCAATGCGGTGCTCAGCAATCCCATTTTGCTGTGGAGAGTCCGGAAGCGTGAAGGTCTGGCGGATCCCCCGTGCACGACAGTAGTCTAGTAGAAGGCGAGAGGAGAACTCCCCACCTCGGTCAGAGTGCAGACGCAGAACAGGAAAGTCCGAGCCGAAGCTCCTCCTGAGCTGGAGACGAGCCTCGCGGATCCAGTCGATCAGCACCTCAGTGACAGCACCCTTGCTGCGCAAGGGGAAGACTGTGGTGTAACGCGAGCAGTTGTCAACCACCAACAGGAAGTAGCGCTCGTGACCCTGCCCACGGACGCGGGCCGGGCCCCACACGTCCATGTGAAGTGTCTGCAGAGGAGCCTCTGTCGGGGGAAACTGGGAGGAGTGAGGAGCAGCCCTGAGGCGCCCCTAGACACAGGGGACACAGGAAGGTCCTGGTCCCGAAGGAAGGGGAGGGAGAGACCGGGGAAGACCTGAGACAAGGACACGGGAAGCCATGCCCCGAAGACGGGGCAGGGAGGGGTGGCCAAGACGGTGGTGCCACATGAGAGTCTCGTGAGACAGGAGGCGACACGAACAGGGGGCAGACTCAGGGCCAGACCGGGACGCAGCAGCAAACACCTGACCTGACGCAGCTACCTGACCAGACGCAGGGACAGGAGGAGACTCAGTGGTCAGGGTGTAGAGGCTCGACCCCGGCCGACGCGAAAACGTGGCCAGGTGCCGGCCAGTGGGTGCGTCCGTGCAGTGGGTCACCCGCTGACTCGCAGGAGTGAACTGGTGAACCCACGCATCCTGCAGGTCCGCACCACTCACCAAGTTCGTCGAGAACGAGGGAAGGTACAGACCAGACAGGGTGCCCGAGGGGGCAGCCGGACACGGGAGGACAGTGGAAAAGTGAGAGAGGACAGGACCCCCAGAGGGGTCAGCTAGGGAGACTGCAACTGGCCGACCAAGCGGCGTGAGTGTGGTGCGGTCTCGAAAGAAGGAGCGGGAAGCTCCTGAGTCAAGTGTGAAAGAGAGGGAGGACGAAGCCGACGCAGTACCTGAAAGCGCAGCCTCACCAGTACCTGAGAGCGCAGACGCACTGGCACCTAGAGCAGCAGTCTCACAAGCACCTAGCGCAGCAGTACCAATGCCCGGGTCGGGCGGGAAACACCGGTAACAGTCACCCTCCTCACTAATAGTCACAGCATACATAGCAGCAAGGATAGCATCAAAATCAAGATCAAAGATAGCTACACCAGCCCTAGACAGCTCATCCCAGCGGGGAATCTCACTAGCCTCGGGAAACTGCTGACGCCAAGCGTCCGTGAGGCGGCCAAAGCAGCGCAAGGTGGGGTGGGCACCCCCACACTGCTCACCCGCGCGGTCGCCGGAACGAAGGACGTAGGTGCACGGACCAGTACCCCCACCCCTCTGACGCCGAGTGTACCACTCACGGAGCTGCTGGGGCGGAGGGATGTCCCGCGAACGCTGCTGCTGCTGCTGCTGCTGCTGGCGCTGACCATTACCAGCGCCGCTCCGCTGCTGGGCACCACCCCGACCAGCTCCACCTCCTCCGCCAACGCCTCCTCCTCCTCCGCCTCCACCGCTGCCACCACTCCCACCGCTGCCGCCACCACCGCCGCCTCCTCCGTTGCTGCCACCACCACCACCGCCTCCGCCACTACTCCCACCGCCACCCCCACTCCCTCCACCGCCTCCACCGCCACCTCCACCGCCCCCTTCAGCTCCACCCGCGCCCTTGCCCCCCTTGCCCTTGCCAGAGCGGCGTCTCCCGCTAGGGGCAGACGCCACGCCGACCGACTCAAGACCAAGCAGGTCGGCAGCAGCAGCAGAGGCAACAGAGGGCAGCAGGGGGGAAGGAGAGCACCCCTCAAAGATGGGGGTGCGAGGGTCACCACGAGAGGCTCCTACAGCGACGATGCTCTTCTCCGCCGCTAGGAGGGCCTTCTCGAGGAGGTCGACAGTGAGGGTGGTGGGACAGACTGAGAGAAAGTGGTCCCTGACTACGCGAAGGGAGTCAGGGAGGCGTGCGACTACGTAGTAGAGAGTGATGTACATGGGGGGGGGGGGGTTCTTGGCGTAGAACTCAGCAGGAAGGGCGGCGCGGTAGCGAGTGTCACTAGTGCGGAGGTGCGTAATGAGGTCAGCGACAGTGGGAAAGGCAGTGAGGTCAGGAAAGAGGTACGGTAGCATGAGACGGCTCAGTGCAGCAGTGGCAGGGGAAGAGAAGCGCGCAACTACAGCGTCGTACAAGGTCTGAGCACTCTTGTACTGACTAAAGTGCGCGCGCTCAGTGGTAGGGAGGTGGCGACGCACAGTAAGACGTGCAGCAGCATCGCGGGTGGCCCACTGAGAGCGAACAGTGGGGTCAGCATCGGCAGTAGGGGCAGGAGAGGCGCCAGAAGTGAGGTCAAAGAGAGAGAGACCGTCCGCCCTATCGCACTGTAAGAACAGCTGCAGGTCGTCGACCCAGACCTCAAAGTCAATGGCCCGACCCTCAGCGTCAAAAGCTAGGACACTAGGGGTAGCCATGACTACGACAGCGAAGCAGTGCAAGCAGTAGGGAAAGGGCACGCAGTGACAGCGGGACGGTGCTCACCGGGCAGGGCAGGTCGGGCGGCTCAGCAGAAGGGCGGCTCGGCGGCTCCTGGGCGGCTCGGCTGCGGCTGGGCGGCTCGGCTGCTGCTGGGCGGCTCGGCTGCTGCTGGGCGGCTCGGCTGCTGCTGGGCGGCTCGGCTGCTGCTGGGCGGCTCGGATGCTGCTGGGCGGCTCGGCTGCTGCTGGGCGGCTCGGCTCCCGGGCGGCTCGGGTGCAGGGCGGCTCGGGCGGGGCGGCTCGGCTGCTCCGGTACCGGGCGGCGGGACCGTGAGAGCAGGGGCAACGGGGCCGTGAGTAGGGGCGGCGGTGTCGTGAGCGCTGGGGCGGCGGGGCCACGAGATCAGGGGCGGCGGGGCCGCGAGTGCTGGGGCGGCGGGGCCGCGAGATAAGGGGCGGCGAGGGCCGCGAGATCAAGGTCGGCGGGGCCGCTGGAGCAGGGGCGGCGGGGCCGCGAGAGTTACTGGCGGCGGGGCCGTGGGAGAAGGGGCGGCGAGGCCGCGTGATCAGGGGCGGCGAGGGCCGCGAAAGCAGGGGCGGCAAGGCCGCGAGAGTAGGGGCGACGGGGCCGTGTGTAGGGGCAGCGGCGTCGCGTGAGTAAGGGCGGCGAGGGCCACGAGAGCAGGGCGGCGGGGCCGCGAGATCAGGGGCGGCGGAGCCGCGTGAGCAAGGGCGGCGAGGGCCGCGAGAGCAGGGCGGCGGGGCCGCGCTGGTAAGGCCGGCCGCTAGGGCGGCTCGGGGAAAGAGTGGCCCGAGGCGCGACTCGGGATGAGTGCGCTTCGGGCAGGAAAAAAAGTTTCGAGTGGTGGGCCCTAGGTGCAGTTCCCACAGGGGAACCTGCTCGATACCATGAGAAGAACTGAACGAGAATGAATGAACTATGAGTGAAGTGAGTACAAATAACAAACCCTAGTTGGGTTGTACCCCCTATGGGATACCCCACTATAGCCTACACAACAGCATAAGCTATATAATGTTCTGACACTACAGCGAGGATGTTCTTCTCTGCTGTGAGGAGGTGCTTCTTGAAGTCGTTGATAGTGAGAGTGGGGGGGTCTAGCACGAGGAAGTGGTCCCTGACTGAGCTAAGATTGTCAGGGAGGCGGATGACAAGGAAATAGAGAGTGAAGTACATCGGGGGGGGGGGTTGCGGCGCAGAAGTCGGCTGAAAGGGCGTCACGAAAGCGAATGTCAGTAGCGCGCAGGTGGGAAATGAGGTCCTCAGCAGTGGTGAACGAGGAAAGGTCGGGGAACAGGTAGGGTAGCATGAGCCTACCTATGGCTGCAGTGGCCGGGGAGGAGTAGCACGCAACTACAGCATCGTACAACGTCTTAGCAGTTTTGTGCTGGCTGAAATGCGCGCGCTCAGTAATCGGCAGATGGTTCATAATAGCTAGGCGTGTAGCAGCATCGCGAGTCTGCTACTGCGAGTGTTCGAGAGCAGGAGCATCGGCAGCAGGAGCAACGGCAGTGCCAGACACGTAATCGAACAGTGAAACACCCTCTTTGGCATCGGTCAGAAGGAACAGTTGGAGGTCATCTAACCACACAGTGAACTCTATGGGGCAACCGTCAGGCTCGAATGCGAGAAAGTTAGGCGTCGTCATAATGGCAGTAGGCAAAGGCAGTAGGCAGCGGGCAGCAGACAAGAGGCAGTAGGCACAAGGCCGCAAGCAAGGACAGACGCAGTAGGCAACATGTAGGAGGCAGCAGGCAGTAGGCAGCGGGCAATAGCGGCCGCACGCGAGCTCCTAAAGCAGCACGCTAGGCAGCGGCGGGCCGCGCTGGCGACAGACGCGGCGCTCGGGGCGACGGCGAGCTGCACGCGACGTTGGGCTGCGTGCGGTGGCGGGCTGCACGGGCTCGACGTGGGCTGCGCGGGTGATGCAGGTCGGCGCGCGGTGCTGCAGTAGTGGCGCACACGAAAAAAGTGACGCGCGTGCGAGCAGCTAAGGCGCGTGCGAAAAAAAAGTGACGCGCGCGCGCGTCAGTAGCTGAGGCGCGTGCGAGCAGCAAACAAGGCAGGCAGGCAGTATGTGAGGTAACACAGTTACGGGTGGGCCCTATTCTTAGGTCCTAGAGACCTCCTGCTCTAGATACCATGTTGAGACTAAGGCAAGGATGATGAGATTAGGTGAAAGTTGGGGTACAAAACTAGAGTGTCGAGAATGTTTCTGTACCCCCTAAGGCTAGCCCCAATATAGCCTAGATACTAATATGCATATGTTTTGACAGCGTAGGTTCTTGGATTCTTCGACGGGTCCCTACCATATCCAACACACGGAATGCAATACGACAAGCAACAGTACACGTATCAGTCAATCATGGCTTACACGATCCTGCTGAGGAACATAACTCCAAACCAGCAGCAGACAATCTTATCGGGGATATGGCAACTCCGCCGAGCTCGCATACAACCACTTGAAGAACCTGTATCAAGCTGTCAGAACATTATAGCTTATACATTTGTGTAGGCTGTAGTGGGGTAGCTCACATGGGGTACAACCCAATTAGGGTTAGTACTTGTACCCAACTCTTTCATAGTTCATTCATCCATTCTCACTTCTCGTCATGGTATCGAGCAGGTTCCCGAGTGGGAATACTGCCTAGGGCCCACCACGTACTTTTTTTTCCTTCCCTGCCCAGAGCGCGCTTAGCTCCTAACCCGAGTAGCGCCTCGAGTTGCCTTAGTGGCCCCTTTTGGCTGCCCTTACTGCTCCTCGAGCCGCCCACCGTCGGCCCCGCTTAGGCCCCGTTGCGGCCCCACTTAGGCCCCGTCGGCCCCACTTAGGGCCCATTGCGGCCCGCTACAGCCCCGCTACGGCCCCGTCGGCCCCGCTACAGCCCCGCCTAGGCCCCGCTACAGCCCCGATTGGCCCCGCTTAGGCCCCGTCGGCCCCGTTGCGGCCCCACTTAGGCCCCGTTGCGGCCCGCTACAGCCC